CTTTTCAAGGCGCGATAAGCGCTAGCACAATCAAGACTCTCACGTTAGGCACACTGTTCGTTATAGTTGGTTTGGTGTGAGAGTCAATGTTACCACGCATAAAAGTGTCGTCAGTACGTGGGGAGCCCGAAATTGTAAGCAAATGCAAGTCACGGACTTTGACTTTAGGAAGTCCCAGTCCAATAACAGTCTTGGCGGATAGATGATAAGAGATGAAGACCGGTTGGTGAATCGAAAAGTCAACACATAAGCGGTTGCACGTAGGGCTGAGAGTATGGCAAGGGAACATTCATCAGTACCATGTTTGTGCTTCTTGTCGTTCCACGCAGTCACTTTTCACCCACCCGAGACTATGCTCACGTTTTTCGCAGTTGCTCGGCGCTACCGAACAGCGATTAGGCCAGGCTTGATGAAGGACGTCGACTTCTCGAAGACGGTGTATCCAACGCGACGGAGGCGTTTCATGAGTTCCCTTGCAATTCGATTATGGCGAGCACATCCACCATGATGCTCGATCCAGCAGGACCGTACAATATGCACCAAACTCCTCGATTGGCCATAGTCTGCTAACCATGACCAAGCCCGGCGCTTCTAACTCTATCTTGGGCAGGTGGCATCGGAGCTGGGCACTTCGGATAAATATCCGAGGAAACACTTGCTCTGGAAACACAAGCCATCGATTCGACAGATGCGAAGCAACCAACTCTCGTAAACCGTGACCGTCAACGCTATTGTGCAGACTATCGCCCCAAGTAGCTACGAGCTCTTCCTTGGTGTTTACGCATGCACCTTAGACTCGGATCGGAAGGCTGAGTTTCCGAAGAATCTTGCTAAATGCAGAATTATTGTCCACATTGCGTAGTACTCGGTACTGAGAAGACAAAAGCTTTTTCATACACGCTCTCCGCTGCATCGGGATAGTTGCACTCAGAATTGGAATACTAAGTCCCCCATGTCACTTAACGGTGTGGATGTAGCTGATCGGGGTGTCCTTCAGTAGACGTAGCCAGCCAGAGTGGATTGCCTGATGCAATTGTTCAACTTTTTGAGCGTGTTTCGGTGGACTTCGCCTAGCACGAGCGAATGTGCCAGCCTCGGTATCAGATAGTTCTTTGTGATCTCTGTTCTTTGATGCGGCTTCAAAGGGGGAAGGTGTCACCTCATCAAGCAGTTTGAGCAGCTGATGCTGCAGACTCTTTCCCGTTGAAAGTAAAGGGGATGCTGAAGTATGTCACGGCATCTGTCGGACCCAGAGGAGCGATGAGTTCCCCGGCGCAGAAAAACGGTCCGAATGAGACCGCTGTCGCTGGATGTTCCCTGTACCCACAAATCACCATCGCTTTCAATTTCGGCCTTTGATCTTTATGCCAGTTCTTTGCAGCTCGACCGCAGCAGCTTCATACCTTCTCTTTAAGGCGAGTCTGACTTTCTGCGACCACACGACCCACTCTTCAGCGAAGGCAAAACCATCCACTAAAGTGTCATGGAACTGGTGTCCTAGTTGCGGTATCGACAATCCTTGGTGAACAATAGTCGGGAGAGTGGATCTCCCTGTCTCACACCTCTGTGCCAATAAACCTCGGAGTTGAGGAAAACTGCTGCAGCACTCTCATAGGACTGTGCGATGTATCTAACCAGAGGTGACGGTGCTTTAAACGGCTCGGCTGGTCTGACAACTGTGTCATGCGAAGCCGAATCAAACGCTTTCGAGATTTCAGAGCAAGTGCCAAGCTGAGCTTCGGAGCAGTCACTGAAGAGTGACAGAGCAGGGCATGTAACAGCGATGTCGCTTCGAAACAACCTTTTCGATGTAGAAATGCAAACTGGAGTGAGTAAAGTTGCAAGCTACGGCTCCGGCGGTCAGCCAACACCTTATGAAATCGTCAAACAAGCATGGATGACACGGAAAGCGGTTTCAGTTGGTCCGGTGAAGTCTGATTTGAAACTCTCGGAACTAAGGCCATACCAGCTCGATACAGCTGCGGTGGACAAAACCCAGGTAATAAGAGAAAGTTGAAATACCCAGCGAAGGCGCTGCCATTGAATCTCTGAGGCATCTTGGGTGTGAGCTTGTCGAGACTTGGGGACCAACAGCACATTAAACTGATCGTGCAGCCGGCTTATTCACTTGTAATTGACTCGACCAAACTCCAATCGGATGGTGGCACTGCACGACTTGGATGGCTATCCACGTGTTTTTGGAACAGAGAGTAACTGTTTCCAATACTGTCAGCGTCAAGAGGTAGGCCGCAGTCCCCTTTGTATAGACCCTTCCATGATGCATTGAGCACAGCAGACGCCGCATCTTTCCGTCTTTGGTGGTATAGAGTCTGGATGACGGCGTAGTTGGCTCGGCTGATCTACTTTCGGTTGACCGACATCCGATCGGCTAGCTGACGACGGCGGCGTCTGGAGAACTGTAGTTCTCCAAGTGTGTGGAAATGTCTTGGAGGTGTGGAGGTCCAGAAGCGACAAGATTTGCTCCGGTGTTATGATGCCAGACTGCAACTCTCGGGAATGCCATAAGGTCAGCCCTAGAAATTGAACTGTCAGCACGGGATTCCGAAAGTGACACCGCGCAATCCACGGTTATAGTTATCAGCTTCTGACGAGTAGGCCGCTGTTTGGTTAGAACTGGTTCGGAGGCGCCAGGTGATTCTCATTGCACATTGTCGAAAGTAACCAGCACATTGAAACCAAACAGAGTGGTTAACCCTGTCTGGAGTTGCTGAACTCTTAGCTCCCCCAGACTGACGCCTGGGCTATCCAGTCGGCACTGCGAGTAGGTGGTTTATCGCACCGACTTTGTCCGGGGTAATTCATGTTATTTCCCCGCTTATCCTTGTTGTTTTTCGCCCTACTCATAAACTCGGGCTAACACGATTCTGTCCACTAATCACGATATGCACATGGGTGAGGTATAGTGACTCACAAACGGATAAGAAGCGCTGTCGAATTTGGTGCATGTCTTGTCATCCATATCAATGGCATTGTCAACAGTCTTTACCAGTTGACCCACTCGATGCACATATGTTGAGGCATCTAACGGGGCTAACCCCCCCCCCATAGATCAGACAGTTTAGCATCTTTCTAGTAGGTGTTCCCTCGCAGGCTCTGTTACCGTTTCCACAGCCTGGCTTCTCTGTTTATTGCACTGATACGTGCTGGGACAGTAGGGGGCGAGATGGACCAGCCCTCGTGCCTCCTTCATGTGGTATGGTAGCTAGGCACCGAAAGGGTGCTACAGCTGAACGATTTTTTGCTGGGATAGTAGACCATTTCAGAAGCCTCCGGGCCTTACTACTCTACGTTTATAGGCGTTATGCGAAGTCTGCTAAAAGCTTCATTCTAATCTTTATGTTGTTTCTGCTTGATACCTTTTTGTTATCAGTCCTGTGAACAGTATGCCTACTTCCCTTAATTCTTCCATTGTGGTGGTGCTATGTTACTGTCAACTCATTATGCTTTTTTGCAGGTGTATGTATATTTCCGGTTTGCCAGGTACTGGCAAAACGGCTTCGGTTAACGCAGTCCTAGCAGCGATGACTGACGTCCGTGATCAACGTGCGACTTTTCAGAAAATAACGGTCAACGGTATGCAAGTGAATGATCCAAAACAAGTTTACGCACAAATACTGCAGGTGTGTCTAGTCATACGTTAGGTGATGTTTCACTCCTTGGTTCGATGATTATCCGCGCTTTTTATCCCTGTCATTGGTTTCAAGCCAGGTAAATATTTCCTCATGCGCCTCTTTTTCGTTATGGACTTCTCGATGACAATAACCCAATGCTTCGAAGAGATCATTTCAGTGTTCACGGGCATTTCCCCCGAACTTTCTGACTACTTTCATAGGGTGAAGTATCATTTGAAGGATCAACGTACCCTTTTTGCGAACTGTGACTGAGGTGCGCACCACTGTCCTGAAAAAAGCACCTGAGTAACCTTATTGTTGAGATGTGCGTATAGAAACGTTGTGCACATGATTGACTTGCCAGATGAAATATCGATCGAGGAACAGTTCATTCACTTACTTGAGTAAAACACTCATTCTAGTGACTACGACGATCAATTGAGTAGGTTCTAAAGCTTGGTTTGTATTCACCACAGGTATTCTTTCTCCATCGATTGCTGCGTTGGACGCTACCGTCAGCTTTTCAGTACTCACGAACCGGGGTTTCAATCTCGAACTCAAATTCTTTGCACACCCTAGTTGTTCAGCTTCTGGACTCTGAGAGAACCGAACTATTCGTTGTTTTCGGGCAGCACTGTGTTCTCACTAGTACTGATCCCACAACAGGTGAAACACGCCCTTATTACTTTTGGGATTTCTTTCGGTGCCCTGATGACTCCGTGTATGATGTTTACAGTAGACTCATCTGAAGAGACTTGAGATTTGGCAGCGGAACTGACTTTTTTCGAGCTACGGTGCGTTGTACATGAAGTTCAATAAACCGTTGAAAAATACCTTCCTGTGGTTCCTTTCTCAATAGACTCCATCTTGGTCGTTGTATTTTGGAGTATAATGAATGAGCCTGTCGTACTCGGTTGCAATTGACTGAGAGCACTGTAGCGATCAAGGATAGACGCATCTACATCAACTTTGTCTCTTATTTCCCCCCAAACTCGGCAGTAACACTTCACCGTTTCAGACAATTACGCCCCGACCCTGTGTTGTTTCTGTGAACTCATTCATCCCATTCTGTCCTTGAATGCTAGGAGAGTTAATGTGTGACGAATGATCTGTCGCCTCCGAGACTGAGCAGTATCAGCGGTATGAACCGTGAATGCCTTCACTGGCAATGCAGCACGGAACGTAAGGTTCGACAAGATGCAGTGTGATAGACGGGTTAACTCTTTTTTCCTTTGCCGTGGTGATGTTACGTCAGAAAGACCTATTGTTGCCACACTTAACATTTGCTTGCACGCGAGACTTGGTGACTTGATTTGACCTTTGGCTTTGATTGCACGTCACAAATGGTGTAAAGTGGCAGCAATTTCTTGCATTTTCATAGCGCTCACAATGGCTTTTGTGTCACTGTATAATCGTTACTTGTATAACCTTCAGTCATCAAGTCTAACCTCTTCACATGAAGATGGGAAATATCGAAAAGCAAGATGGCTGTACACTGCTGTCGAAAAAAGAAAGAGAAATCGTTCAGCTGCAGCACCCTTTCGATGCCTAACTGCCAAGGAAGCACGAGGGTTGGGATACTGTCAGGTTGCCCAAGTCTAGACAGGGGAAGTCGAGCGGCAGAGGTCGGGTTCGAACCGCGGACCTTCTTGTCAGTAAATTCTCGCTCTAACCACTGAACCATCTCGCCCCCACTGCTGTCGAAACCGTTTCCGATATTCCGTTTCGAGTTGCTTGTGTGGACTGAGGAGCATTAAATAAAGAATATGTCGTCTGTGTAGTCCATGTCCATTGATGCCTTCTCCTGTGTCATTTCGGCTCCTACTTTCATAGTCCTTTGAGCCGTGAGTTGTAGCGGTGATCACTTGACCGTGCGCTGCGGAGTGAGCCTATAATCTCACTTTCAGACCGACTGTCAAACAGGTTCTGTACGAACAGATAATTCTGATGATCTAAACCTGCCGCTGATTCAGAATGGCATCACTTAATTTGCCATTCTGACTGTGCAATATGTAAGTGTATACGACTACAGGATGAATTGCGTTTATCGACAGATCAGTATGCTAACTTGGGTGAATCAAAGAAGCTTCGTTTCACAGTAGTCTAGAGATGATATTCTTCATGTAGTTGGGACAGTGAATGACGATAAACAGCAAACCGATTCCAGCACTATGGGAGAAAGACGTGTGGCACTTGCTTTAAAAAAGCAGCATTTTGGCCCCCCAACGTTGTCCTGTGTTTAGCTCCCACTGCTGAAGGCGAGGTTAAGTAGAAGGTACCTTGAAATCAAGCAAATCTCTTGAAGAATTGGTGCTGTGAATCTGTGACTATCCCGTTGTTACATAAAGCTGGTGACGTGTTTGATGCCTCTACTAGGACCTTACCGAAAGAAGGAAACACCACTTACGGTTTTCATTAAAAGGATCACCGCAGTCGTTTACCAGTAGAACGCCTTGCTATTAATAGTAGGTGTTATTTTAATGGTCATGGGCTGTTTTTAGAAACAATATAAATTAACTTGGTCTAAGCAGTAAGTTCCAACTGGGGAAATTTCCAGTCGTCACTTTATACGAATAGCCAAGCGGCAACATGCGCCCAGGTGAGCCCAGCGAATGCCACACATTGCTGAATAGTTGGTTTGCGTTCATTCACTCATGCCGGCCGAAGCAACAGCTTGATCTGGAATACAATTAAAGTGCAAATCCGAATTCTTTGGGGAGTGTTACTGCGCTACGCTTGCGTTTTTGCGCCGTAGAAGTGCCTAAATGAAACGGCGACTTGATGAGCTCTTTTAATGGACAAAGTCTTTTCTACTTTACTGTCGGATATTGGACACATATCGAAGTCGTTTTGCAAACGTTGAATTCCTTGTTTTCTTCTAACAGTCAGCTGTTTTTGTTCAGCGGCAGCCCTGTTTATACATCAATAGAAGACTGCTTCCCAAGTGATTACTCTCGTTGCAGCCAACCGCATCCTGTTTGGCATACTCCTGTGGGCGATTTACCTCAGTCCGCAGGCACGCCCTGTTACCAAGTCTGAAAGCTGGTAGAGTATCCAAGAAGTTCTGACTCAGTTCATGCCTCCCTACGTCATAGCGAATGCCCATTTCCTTCAGTGTGATGACGAGCCGATTGATTTTGACCACGAATCGCAGATGCAACAAAGTAGTCCACTGTCATTATTGCTGTCCACATCTGCGATTGTGTAGAAAATAGAAAATGCTCTACAAAAGTGTCTAGAAATTCAACGCAGTACAACCCCCTTAATGACGGGTCTGGACCTTACTGATGACTGTATCGTCCTGACCGTATCAACAAACACACATTATTTGCACTTGGAATTAGTGTAGAAGGGATGAAATTCTTCAGTACGACTGCTGATCCGAAAGTCATCCCAATTCCTATCACCGATGTGGTGATTATCTTGGTTACATCTAAGTGCGTGGAGTCCGTAGTTCTATTAAATGGCCAAATGGTCCAAAGAAGCCATCAGTCTGAAGACATTCAGAAATGAACTACGCCACAAAGCCATTGTCCACCCGGAACCTGGACCCTTAGAATTCACAACCTTTGCAGGATCAAGGCGTTTGAATGCTGGTTTCTTGGACGCATGTTGAGGGTTCATTTGGTTGGTGGGTTATTCAACAACTTTCTCAGGCAACACTACCGAGGCACTTATTTTTTCTGAACTTGTCCAACAATGACATCTACGTGGGTTCCGTCACGCGCTGCGCAAATCTGACGCTGTATTGATGAAGGTTTTGCCTCCGCGTCCCCGGAATGCTAGGAACCTGAATGTCAACCATGAATGCTGGTTTTGATTGCTTGAGTTTATGTAATCTGTGACTGCGTTACTACAACTGACGGCCGGCTCTTTAAACTGCGCGTATCATGCGTCGTCGGCCACGGGCGATGACTATTTTAGATTATTGGAGGTAACTTTTCCTCGCGCAGGAGACAGTGGCTCTTAAGGAAAGTAGTAGATTGACACTGAAGCTTATCTAGTAACGTACAATGTAGCTACATTATATACTACTCAGTGGAGTCTTAGGGAACTTCGAAACAGCATGTTCAATAGACCGTCCTCGTATCAGGAATGTACTCTTGACCCTCCCTAACTTTCACTGTAACCGCTTTAGTTTTTTTCAAACTTCATGTCTTCTCTAAATGTATTTTTAACTCTTCTTTCATGCTAGCAACTCACTGGACAGTTGCTTCCTGCCAAACAAGCCGCCCAGCAGTTAGAACGGGAATTCTGTTCCTCTGGTTTGAGACAGTCACATCGAGAAAAGAGCAATCTACCACCAGTGGTCCTTGTGATCGATGAGTTGGATCTGCTTTGCACCCGTCGCCAAGACGTGCTGTATAACTTGTTCGATTGGCCAACACGTCCTCGTGGGCGGCGCTCACTCATTGTTTTGGCGATTGCCAACACTATGGACTTGCCCGAACGACTGCTGCACCCTCGGGTTGCCAGTCGCCTCGGTCTCACACGCCTCACCTTTGCGCCCTATTCCCACGAGCAGTTAGTGCACATTGTTCAGTCTCGCCTAATCGGTAGCGGATCGAGTTCGTTTCAGGTGAGTTGATCTATTACGATAGATGGCCTTCGGGTTTCTACTGTAACAAGTTCGCTGAGTATCCCGGTTTCCCGTAGATAGGCAAGATGTTCGTTCAAGAGAGTTTAATGACGACAGGTCAAGGGGTATACCATGGGTTGGACGAACAGATGTCCGTCAGCATTCGTGATCCAAGCAGCTCTTATGGTCATTCTGAGTGACGGTGAACGGTGTAGAGGGATATCTCAGCGTAAACTCTTCTTACTATGCGTGGGTACGAAACCATATTCATCCCGTATAATCATTGTTTAAACTGTAAAAATCTTCCGAGGAGACTCCTAGTTACCAAGAGTTACCGCAATTAATTTTTCCGGAGGAACAAAGATAAGTGATGAGTTACTCACAAGGTTGCGGGAAACTCTTCGACAACCCACGACCGATTTCGGCTCTCCAGGTAGGCACAGTCCCCGAGTTTCAGCCAACCCAAATTGGATGGATTTGGACAACTGCACTCATCTGCATATCAGCTTGCTTTCCATGTGCATAGCTCGGAACCGCGACGTTTGAGACGCTGCCAAGTTGGCCATGACTAGATAAGAGCAGACTTACGTTTAAACCATGAACACTTTGATCGCGACAACTGCACTCATCTACATACCAGCTTGATTTTCACGTGCATAGCTCGGAACCGCGACGGCTGAGACGCTACCAAGTTGCCCATGACTAGATAAGAGCAGGCTTACGTTTAAACCATGAACACTTTGATCGGTTGCTTCGAGCCTTGACCGCCGGGCTGTCACACATATTATTTCGGAGAGGGTTCAGTTCCAGTGGGGAACATCGTTTATTTTTCCCTGTGTTAGCCTATATTGGCTACTAGTGTAACGGTGACACTACTGATGGGGAGGCACGCGAGTAGTATGTGCTGTTCGTAGAATTTCGCTTTGCATCTTTTGAAAAGGGGAGATCTGTTGCGGAATTCGTGGAGCCACTTTGTAACATTTGTTTGGATTTGAGAGACGAATGAGTGGAGTCAATGAATCTCCAGGAAAGTTCAAGAAGACGCGTTCGGGAGAAGATGGGTGTCCGGTTTTTGTAAATAAGATGCTTCCCTGTTCAATGGTCTGTAACCGGTCAGTTGGCATTTCCTAATAACTAACTCCGCAGCGAAGGCCTTCTTCCTTTCACTAGTAGAATAATTCTTCGGACGTTACCCTGGACCTTTTTCGTTTATCAGCTGTCTTCACGAACCTTGGTTGTCTATTTTGCTTTGATCACATTTCTGTAGCGAGCTGAGGCAGCGCGATTCCCTGCGATTTGATTAGAGGCGATGACGAGTTTCATGTCCATGCATTGTCCACCGTGAATACCACCCAATACGCCGATGGGACAGTTTAGGAATAATGATTTTACGGTGCCCGCCACTCTGACAAAATTTGTGTAGGTTCGTTGCTCGTTAAGCAGACATGACACTAGTGGCCCAATCGTTCGTTGGGTTTGATAGCTCTGTTGCGAACGTTTCATCACCAATCGACGCGAAACGATCAGTGCGTGTCATGAAATGGAGCGCATTGATGATGTCATTTCGACTGGTGGTAAGACGTTTGCAACGAAATTGCCAAGCTTAGTGAGCATTCCGACCACCAAATGAATAAATTGAACTACCAACATTCTGTTCTGTTTAAGATGTGAGACTGTTAGTCAAAATTACATAGACTCAACATTCACCGGGACCAACCAAATAACTAGTCGCCTGAATGATGTGTGGGCAAGCATGCCACCATGCATGAGGACCAAACACGTTTGCTGGGTACTACATACGAGTTCACATTATAAGGGGTTCGTTTAGCTTTTTGAAAAAGCGGTGTGATCTTTGTACTCATGCGGGTGAAAAATGATCTCACAACACAACACACATTTTGGCATGGTACATGAACTTAGTAGGTGTGTGTACCCTTGGTTCATGCAGCGGAAAGTGTACTCTTCATCTGGTACCCGTCGTGTGCCAGTTCCCGTAAGTGTTTGCTTAGCCAGCATAGCCCCAGCTAGCTGCGTATAGGAGCAGACTACGATCCGGACGCATTACTCCACGTGGTTAGAAATGTATACTTTGCTTTTCCCCCGTAAAACCTTTTGGCTTCGTCTCATCAATGGCGTTCTCCAAATGCTTAACTCAGAAGAGGTCCCATTCTGTGGACACGAAACTAGAATCATTCGGCTCACATAGCATTATTGTTTGATTTTATGACATCTAGGATGTGCGGAACACTTAACTCTGATGAGTTACTATATGCTTGGACATTTCGTGGACTTTCATCCATTGGCAAGTTACATATCGTTATCATGCTTTTCTATAGACAATATAACTGTTGCGCTCGGAAGTGAAAATGAATTTCAGGTTATCCACAAATGGGTGTGATTTCCTATGCCTCAGCATACTCACACTGGATGAGTGATCCTGAAGGGGAGATTTTTGTACCGGATTGCGTCTGAATGATTTGAGCATCAAAGGCTTCTGCCGCTAGGTGCTGTTCCATTTTACAGCACATTTGAGTGTTGATTCTCCTACCCGTTACAAACTACCTCCATCTCATCTTTAGGAAAAAGCCTTAGAACTGGCGGCGCGGAAGGTCGCTGCTGTGTCGGGTGATGTACGCCGTGCGCTAGACATCTGTCGACGTGCCGCTGAAATGGTTCCCCAGTCAAAATCGAAAAAGGAGATTGGAATTGAACATATCAATGCAGCTCTCAAGGAAATGTTCACCACACCAAAGCTGTGTGCAATCCAGGCCTGTTCCCTTTACGAGAAGCTGTTTCTGCGGGCCCTCATCGCTGAGTTTCAGGCGCGTTCGACAGAGGAGGCCCGATTGGACCGCTGCATTCTTCAGATGTGTGCTCTTTGTCGTCTAGAGGGTGAGTGCTGTCCACCACTGGGTAATTTTCGATTCAAAGTGACTGCGAATTGTACTCTGCTTTGAAAAGGAGAATTTAACTCTCATACCAGTCAGTTCTCAAGATTCCAAAGGTTCAAACATATGGGATATTTTGACGAACAAGCCTTTCCGACTTGGTTTCGTCGGGTCGTGCTTATTGGGAGACGATGTTGCGAGTAACTTTTCCTAGAAAACGCAAACACAATAGAATGAAACTTCTATCAAAAGATGACTTATCGGCTGACCTAATGAACTCTCCGAGAAGAGTGTTTCCCGCTACAACACTTCGTTTCTCGCCCACAAGCAAACGTTTTTACTGAGGACTGTCTCAGCGTCCAAAATTTGTTTGCAGTTTTTACCATGTTCAATGTATCAATACACGTTAGATGTACGATTAGGTAAAAGAACACTGCGTCGTCTGGATAAGGAACTAAGCAGTCAATAACCAGCCCTGGATGCAAAACATCTTACTGGGACGGAGCATTACCAAGCTCTCATAGGCCAGCCAAAAACAACAGTATATGGCACAAGAACGGTGGCCGGGGTAGTCGACCTGCGACACTGTCACACGATACCTCGTCAACGTGATGTGACTCATCTCCGAACACGAACACATTCAGGTCATCCGATTGATGACCTCACTCCTGTGGTTCAGTGGTGACTAACGCGATTTCTCTGCCCTCTGTTCGTTTGCCTGATTGCTCCACGTGTCTATCCAACTTTCGAACCTGTAAGATCCGACGAACGATTCCCTAAAAATGCCAGCCATAGAAATTTTCTCTCTAAGACTTAGTCATGGTTATACTTCTGGCTGTCATCTATCAGCGATCTCTTGTGTCTCCACGGTTAGTGTTTTTCATCTTCAGGCGACCTCTTGCTCTTCTAATCATGTTTTTCTCATTGCGCTACCTGAATCGTTGGGATGAGCACAAGACAACTCTCTTTGTGCCGTTCACGAACATAGTCAGCTTGCTTGGGGTTCCGCTGCGAACGCTATACTTCAAACTACTCTATTCATCTCCAGAAATTGAACAACCCATTCAACAGTGTTTCGGAAATTTTCATTGGAATAGCGGTTGTTTCTCATTTGTCTAAGCCCCAAATTAGGATCATGTATTGCGTTGGTCGCATCTTCAAACCTAATTTACAAAGACTGTTTTGAGCCGGTCCCACCACATTCCTGCTATCTTCCCCATAAAATGGTCCTCCTTTCTTGTAGTCACGACTTGAAGAAGATCCTCTCACTGTTCCTTGTAGCAAACGTTTTTGACGAGCTCTGTCTGTAGCCGTTGTAGAGAGTTTTTACCATATAGTAGACGCCAGTTGTCCAGTATTTCTGGAAGTTCCGTCGCTGCTACCCACCACTGAGGGTTGTCCCAACTGGTTTTGCTCATAGGCGTAGCCATTTGATTCCTCTCTATTGTGGAATGCTAAGCTACTATTACTGAAAACAATGGGGATTTATTCCGAATTGTATTGCCTTGTTCGGAAAGCTCTCTTGAGCCTCCATCTGTATTGTGTTAGAACTTTTTTTTGTTTTCGCAGCACACTCAGGTTTAACTTACTGGCCAACCCCATTTGCTACTGTTCTGCAGGTTTCCCGTGCCCCACGACTTCCGAGGTGTTCGACATCTGTTCAAGCCTCGGTGCTCACAAACTGCTCCTCACAGAACCCTCAAGACGAGACACCTCAATGCTAGTTCGCCTGAACTGCAGCAAATCGGACGTACTTTTTGCGCTCAAGCCACGCAGCAGCGCTTGATCGTTTTTATACTCCCCGGTTGTTCCATCCGAATGCATTTTCTTTACTCCCAACGCACTTTGCTCAGATTTTGTAGCAGTATTTTTGTACTACCTGTTTATGATGTCGTATTTGAACAATACAGATCTTCAATAGCTGTCGAAGAGAACTATGATTTGTTTTCTCAGGAACTGATAAGCCGGCGGATCAGGGTCTTTTGAAGATGTTTTCATCAACTTCTGATCTAATTTGGAATCTTTGACCAAGAAGTGCATTCCCTTGCATGTTCCACACGATGGTTTGTCCACACTCGATCGGTTGTTCAGTAAAGGTTTGGAGAAATCACGTTCGGAGGGAAATCACGTCAAATCACGACCAATAATTTGCAGAGACGTGGTTATACCGCACTACTCTTTTCACTGAACTCAGGAAGAATATTGAGAAAGGCCACACAGAAATTAACAATCTAATGAGTGAGTTTATGAAGGATGGATAGCAAGTTATGTAACGTGGCGTGAAAAGCTGGACATTGAACTCTGTTAACAGCGCAATTTATTATACTTGCAATCAACTGTTCCACAACAAGAGAATGTTTATTGACACTGTTAGATATAACCCAAACGTGATGTGAGCGCAGCCAAGAATTCTAGGGTTTCGGAACAATGCGCAGAAAGGGCGTCGTTGAGTTGGTTTTCTTTTGTTCCATAAGTCAGATTTCACAATCATTGGCATGATTGTATGAACATCGGCAGTGAGGTTCGGGGTCAGCAAGAACCCGATTGCACAGGTCAAAAAAGAAGAAAGATTTGACCTGGCAGAAGTAAAGAACGGAGAGGAAATTTGATTTTCTGTGGCAAGCTGCTTGAAATTTGGCGGCCATGTCATCTCATACAACCATAAAGATTCTGCAAAGTTGGTCAGTAGATAGAAGTCTGACAAATAGTCTCCTGGCCGTTCAGGCTAGTTGTTGGAACAGGTATGGCACCGTGTTCCTCAGATGGTTAGGTTACGTCAACCAACTCTGACAGTTGGTCAGGTGTTTGGATGAGGACCATAATTGTTCTCAAATCCAGGTGTGGGTACCCTAGCATAATCTAAGTCCACATGCAGTCATGAATTACATCATCAAATTTACCCGCTTATCCGATCGGCCGTTGTGTGATGACTTCCTTGCTTCCTGGAAGGCGGGTAGGCGAAAACATGCGACGTTTCCTTTCATTCTTCATTAGTACAACAACCCCCCTCCTGTTCCACCTTGTTATTTCCGCAGATCCCAGATATAGGTCAGGCGCTCAGGAAAGTGTACGGTTGGACACCACCGCATCGTGTCCATATTTCAAATGCCTGTTGTAGCCTTCAAAGTGCGGGCTTTCATACACACTGGTCAGTAAACTGCTCTTGTGCGCAGTTCAGGTATTTTATCGATACACATTTGTTGCGTTTCTGGAATTTGAATACGAAATTCATGTACAGTAATGCACATTACGGTATCTTCATTGTCTAAATACTTTACTATATACCTCGGGTGATTCTGAAGCGGCTTATACCGATGTTGGAATAGTTCCCACTTCGTGAGTGGAGGTATCCCTGCTTGACTAGACACCTGTAAACAGCCGAATTGGTGCTGTTCACCTTCATTAGTCGAGATGCTGATCGGTCTTAGCATTCATCCGCATATTAATTCGGTTTTGATGGGAGACTCATCCGGAACCCAGCCGAATCTCTCCTTTGTGGTGTTCTTAAGCAACTCAGTATGATGCACCAGGCAGCCTCATGTTTCAGTTGGTACAATATTCGAGATATCGCGATACATTATATGGACGTATTTCACGAGAAAATATACTGCGACATCTCGATATCGTGCCAAGTGAAGCATGCGCCGGCCCTTCTGCAGTTTATTCACAAGACATTCAGCTGGGTTCTAGGTGAGTCTGTCGTCAAAATGAAATTGGTGTGCAAATGAATGTATTTCGCTAATCTCGTACCATTCGGGTTCAAGTAGAGCATAGGGTTGGGGAGACTTATATGATGAGTCCGAAGAAGCGCTGAACCGGTTGTGAGTTGTCCAAGAGTGTTCAACAACCCTATGAGTGCTGTGTTACGTCTATACAACGTACTGCGATACTGGCGTGACGCGCCAATGAGACATGAGGTGGCCTAGTACGGAAGATTCAGCTGAAAAAGACGTAGTAAACGAAGGCACTAGTCGGTTCCTCCGTGTAAACAAAATTGGTATGCAAATGAGTGTAGTATGCCAAACAGGGTTTACTTGTTTCCTTTCTTTCCAGGGGGTGTCCAGGATGTCTTCGCCGCTTGCTCGTTTGTTCTCATTCCCGATACAGAGGAGTTAAAATGAGTTTCACCATACGGAGCTGACCTGGCTGTTTTCCAACAGAACGTCTCTCCGTTGGGTTCTCCGTGTGCAGTGTAGATGTCGGTTAAAATAACGGGATAAACAATTCGAGTGTCGGTGTTGAGGAGCCTAGACACTGAGTTATTGGTTCATACCGAAAATGATGACGAACAGAGTGGATATATTCAGCAAAACTATTCTAGGTTTCGGTAGCCATTAGCAAGGAACGGTCTACCGACCCTTAAAACCCACGAATATCGCTGGCCCAAGATTGTCCAACAGTGTGAAAGTCAAACGTATCGTGAAGTTGGCGCTTGTTTGGGCACGTTTCACGTCTGACCTTCGGACTGAGTCGTCTTGCGGTCTGTCGTGTTTGAGTTGCCTTTGGGTGATGAAGTAGACCGGACCAAATGGCAAATAACACTATCACACGTCATGGTAATGACCACTGATTCAGCAAAATACTTCTGTGTATATACCTCGAGATTTTGCTGCATTATGTGCAGGTTATCAAAGTGGACCCAATGGCACTTAGTAATAACAACTATGTCATTTGCTTGTTGAACGTCTAATTTTGTCAGTCATGAAGTCGTACTGACGATAGCTTGCAATCACAACATGGGATATGCATGCTGGGTCAAGTGGTCTGTAACCAGATCTCCTTAGAAAGACGGACTTGTGAAAACGGTTTTCGAAGATAAGGAACCATCGAACCCAACAGCCAGATCGAGGAGGTCTAAGACAAGTGCAGTGGCTACCCATCTGCTTTATGCGGGTCATGTAATCCATTCTGTCCACCGAGATCTGTTCGAAATTAGTCCTTGACTCATCAGGAGAAGTCACGTGACCCATTCTCCAAAGTATTCGTCTTTGGAAAGATGCAGTGCATCGACTTTACAAAACGAAAAATACGTTACCACATTCAGTGAGTTATTGTAACTAGTGGACGTATCTCGATTTTAGTGACCAGAAGATGAGAGCCGTGACAAAAACATTGCTCAGCGTCAAAATTAGCTTTGTGGGAATGTATGAACCATTAAACTACTATTTCTGGGGGGTTATTGAATTCCGCGGCCCGGGATAAAAGTGCATGAAAACGTTGGAGAAAGAAATCGTGTTCACTGTTTACGTCATAAGTTATAGGTGGAAGTATTTTTAATACAGCGTTAGATTGTTCCTGATTACCCAAACGTTGCATGATTTAGTGACCAGAAGATGAGAGCCGTGACAAAAACATTGCTCAGCGTCAAAATTAGCTTTGTGGGAATGTATGAACCATTAAACTACTATTTCTGGGGGGTTATTGAATTCCGCGGCCCGGGATAAAAGTGCATGAAAACGTTGGAGAAAGAAATCGTGTTCACTGTTTACGTCATAAGTTATAGGTGGAAGTATTTTTAATACAGCGTTAGATTGTTCCTGATTACCCAAACGTTGCATGAGAATTGAGTCGGATGAAGAGAGCTGGCTATTTTAGATCCAGATACTCGAATATTTTAGAAAAGGACGCTTCTGTTCATTATACGGGAGAGATATGAAAATAATCAATAAGGAGAAAGAAAGACAACAAAGATTTTGATGAAGTATGCGGCGAAGTCAATGCATAGTAAATAATATCCCGGATGTAAAAAATCCAGCCTTGTTTAGAACACGGGGTTCTTATCCTCGTAATGATCACGCGAGTGCTCAGCGAGACGGGAATACTTGCGTTGCATGTGGAGTGACATGCCAAGTGCAATAGCTGCCGACGCAATCACGATCACTACCATAAAGAGCCACATCAATTCCAACTCAAGAGTCACCCAGACGAACCATTCCGGCCAACGTTCAAAGCTTAGGAGCCGTTCAGCGACTTCGGGTTTGAGCAAGCTGTTCGCTATTCGCTCCAGATTGCCGTTGTTAGAACCGGGACGAATACGAAGAAGCCAGCACATAAGCGTGTAAATATCGATTGCATAAACTTGATCAACTACTTCGTGCCTGCGGAAGGATGGTCCACTGGCGATCAGGAAGGGGTTCATGTCGGCAAACTCAGGTGAGTAGCCGTGTATACCGCCTACACAGTGTAACGAGAGAAGAAACCAGAAAAACGAGGAAACGCTTTTAGTTGTGTTTTGATAGGGGGAAATCATGTCGAGAAAACATGGTCTCACGGAGAACTCAAGAGCAACTTCGAATCGCTTTGCAATAATGTTTTTTTAAAATAATTCTACATAGACTGATATGTCATGCCTTCGAATCTACTCGATCCATGTCCTGTACGTCTACTTTTGTCGTACTGTGCTTGCTAAATTTAGAAGGACCATGCGGAGTACGGTCGAGCCGCGGCCGTCTTCTTTGTTAACGCTTTTTCTGGTTGGCGGCCGAAGGACTGATCGACGGCGTACAGGGAAACTCTAAGCATTGCAAAAAGTTATGTTAATGGTGCTGGATTCATCCACATTCCAGATGGTTCGCGCAAAAACTAAACTTGAACTCTGTACAGCTTCCAGGAACACAAAACGCTACCTGGAATTCCCCGGAGTTGGGGGAAATATGTCAGGCACCAGGGGAATTTTAAACCACAGAGCATTGGGTCAACTCGACTGAATCCTTCAACATGTCTTATCGTATCCCAAGCAATCGGTCGAATATTGTTCGGTAGTTGATAATGAACGCGGATGAATCAGGGTCCAACGGAGTGCAGCTCTGTAGAGCGATGCTTAGCTCGATTAAAGTGACCGTTCCTCGACCAAAAACTCATAAACGTCACTCTTATCTAACCACTGTAAGTAACTCTTCAAGCTGTCTGATTTCTGGTTCTGTATTTCAACATTTATTAAGCAACAGCTGTAAAAATGGTCGGGACTCACCTAAAGCGCACATGTCTACCGAACTATGTATGTAACACATCGTTATACTTCTATCGAGAAATTGGGATTCACGACAAACCGTTTCACGGATCTTGGCGAGACATATTCCAAAAAATGCTGAAATGTCCTAAGACTAGAAGATGTAAACTGGCGCCATCGTCGATTAGTTTGGTTGTCTTTTGGTTCCAGAGTGACGATAGAGAATGCACGCCGAAGAATGGTCTGTCTAGGAGTTTTTGCAGGGATTAATGTTTCGCGAAGGAATTTGGGTAGGTTTGAACCTCGCGGATTTCCTCAGTGGTTTAGCCAACTCATTGTGTTTGAAAGGCATGTGATTCGCTGCCTCAAACCAACTAGCAACACGTATGTGTTCGTGACATTGCTGGGAGACCAGCTATAGCAGACCGGCAGCCAGAATGCTCGTATTCCAAACTGAAGGAGTGTAGGGGGTGTGGAATCAGATCTCTGAGCAGACTGATTCAGTACTCCAGAAAAGTTTGAACAATGATTGAATTCATTATGCCTGTAATCAATCTATCCTCAAAGGTGGAGAAGCACCGTACAGCTGCTTTGCCTTCGTTGGGAAGCATCAGCAATGTTAACCACATGAACTTGCCGAATGATTCGAAACCACGAAATCCAGGTTAGCAGCGGAACGCCATTTGACTGAGTGGCGGTGTGATTAAATTACAACCAGGCAAAATACCGCATCGTTAACCTTCAATCATAAAAATGAACATTGTTACATACCTTGACCTGATTCATTGCGACTGTGAACAAGATGCCACAGTGGATCAGGAAGTAGGACAATGGCAGGCATTCTGGAGTTAGTATGGTTGAAATTCAATACGGAGGGAGTGTCGGATAGCCAGTATACTTTCAAGTGTGGATGAGCACCATGGAGCTTTGAATAGACTTCATCTTCTTTGCCTGAAACAGTGGGAGGCAAGAAATAATACCCAGGAAAAACAAAGCACTCGACTTCGAGTTAACAAAAGAGCACTGCACAACACCGTACTGACAGAATGAAATCAATGTACAACTTATATGTCACACAAAGAAGTTTTCAACGGGGAGAGTATCTGTCATGGAAAAAAGCTCGCACTTATTCACGCCTAATATCATTCAATATTAGTGACTCAAATAAACCAATCAGTTGAAGAAAATAAATCACATAAGTCAGATAGGATCATTATTTTTCGCGCGCAAAATAATCTTTTTTAAACAGCCCGTCTGGGTGAAATGCCCGGACTCGGAAGATACCAAAACCCTCCAGCGGTGGAGGACGCCTGAAGCCGTTGCAAAAACCCATGTCAATGACGTCTAATCTATTTATGGCATCTTCCGACACTAGGCCAATCTAGCACAAGAGTGATAACCTCCAGCAGCCTGTTCATTTGGGAAGTACAAGAACCACAGCTATGAAATGACTCGGACCCAGAGCTTGTAAAACTTTTTTCCACGTAATTCCACTTGGGCCAAGTAACGAAAAAGAAGACAGGACAGACAGGGTCATGCTGCATTTGTGCATTCTGACTGAGATATTTCCGCGAATTTTCGTTCCTCATGGCGCACTCAGTTAGATCTTGCGAGTACCTCTTTCTCCTGGCCCGTACGACTGCTGGGTTCAACTACCGGCCAGATGAACTGTTCCGGACTATTTGATCTACGGTGAACGAGACCTACGTAACTTTTCTTTCTATCCGGAATGGAGGGGAAAATATGCCTAGCGTCTGCTACTAGGATAAATGATAGAGACTGTCTGACTGCTTACTGTCCAGCCATCCTGAATTTAACGGAGGAGGTTGTATCGGGCGATATTCCACCAAAATTGTCTTCCGGGTTTCGCAATAACGGTACGCTGGACACCGTGGCTTCACTACTTCATTCCCTCACTTTGTCGCTGAATAAGCACAATTTTATCGTCCAGTACGCTGTCCTAAATTCTTCGTCCACCAGGTAGGTGCTAATCGGCTAAGGTTCTGTTAGTTGATCTTCATTCCTTGTCTGGCCGCTTCAGTATTTTCATTCCCCTCCTAGCATACGACACTCAAGAGATACTAACTTGCTGATCCCTGTAAGACGATTCAAATAGCATCACACCATATTTCATCCATCACACTGATCACCGCCAAGCAGATGGTCCAGCTATACTTTTGACACTGCAGACAATATCGCTCACTGTATCATCGGATTCAGTCCCGCTACACATAAAAAGTTCACCTGACGGGCTTCTAAAGCAAACTTAAGAGGCACCCGGACATCTCGTAATGCAAAAGCCACTTCCTTGAAGCCATTCAATTTCCCCTCATTTGAAGAGCTTGCTAAATTCCATCCCTGAGAGGGAATACCATTTTCTGACTGCTAACAGGTGGAAGGAGGAAGGCCTTCGATGTGGAGTTGTTTGTTAGGAAATGCCAACTGACTAGTTATAGACTATTGGACAGGGAAGCGAAACTCTTATATGCATCTTGTTTACAAAAACTGAACACCCACCTTCTCCTTGAACGCGTCTTCCTGAGCTTTCCTGGATATTTATTGACTGTTACTCAAATCGAAGCAAATGCAACAAAGCGAATCCATAAATCCCGCAATAGATCTCCCTTTTCAAGAGACACAAAGCGAATGTACAAGAAAACATACTGCTCACATGCTTTCCCCATCAGTAGTATCACTGTTACGCAGGTATCCTGGCTTGCGAATATCCAATACACTGTGTTCCCCTAAGTACGATAATATCAAGAAAATTGGGAAACTTCTCCATGAGAAACCTGTGTCAGCTAAAATGCTCTTAGAGTTTCATTTCGAGATCTATCCACTCTTGTTTGTTTTCTATGATCTTGTGTAGTTCATGTCACGAAGGCCTCTCTTGTTCTCAAAATTGATTGTATGTGCTAGTCTCATAGCCTTCCAAAATATCAACCCTCGGATATCAGATATGCACTTCTCCAAGACCAGCTATCATCCGGATAAGAAAAGCTTCCGATAACCAGCTCCATTACCACAAATGTTGTGACTAAATATCTAAGATGCTTTCTCAAAATGTAGACAAGCTACCCGGCCATACGCTTGTAAATGTTCTTTTTGGTGTGCTTGAGTGTGCCTGTAAAGAATTTAACTAGTGCAGAGGGACAATTTGGGGCCTAAGGTACAAAGAATTACTTTCGGAGGGGGGCAGTGGTCTCAGTGGGTCGAAAGTGTGTATCCTTCGCGGATTCCAGGAAGTAAAAAGAGACTAAGAGCTGATTCATTACACCGTGATAAAGTCAGACTCGAACGGAGTAAAATATGCCGGTAAATATCGGGGATAGTTATGCTGATTAGTTATTTGGTAGAAGAGAATCAGGTTTCCACAATGTTCGATGGTGTCCAGTGAAGATCGGAGACCTGATAAATGTCGGTTAAACTCCTGTCAAAAGTTGCGGCCCGATTGCACGTCCTTGTAGCTGACTGCATGTTGGTTGAGCGTCGTTTGATTACTGTCCTCGAATTTGGACGGTAACCTCACTGAGGTAGGCATATATAATAATAAAAGTTGAGAAATTTCAATAGTAAATTTCTCGAGTGCACACAGAAGAGACCCAAGATGACGATTCCTCATGGCAGAAGCCCTGGCACGCAGCTTAGATTCCTCTGCGTTGCGTTCTTAGAAAACCTATAAAGCCTAATATCCAATGAAGTATTCATTAGTTTCATGATGGCGTCAGGATAGCGCTTCGCACTTGGACGGGTTGAAAGTGCTGTTATTTTCCGTTGATATCAGAAACACTCCCAACCTGAACACGCTACCACTCAAAACGCACTGATGATGTTACCTCGACTGGTGCTGAAGCAATTGCAACCAAATTGCTCAACTTAGCAAACAAACCAACAGTCAGCATTGCAACCTGAGCTGACAATATTTTCGTCAGCTATAGAAACTACAAGAAACAGAGCGGACCCTGGTTGTTTGCGGGAAATACAATCCAAGAATTTCCAGGCAAAAGAGGAAAATGTACAATACACCGCTGCCATTTCCAATTTTTTTTTAAATTTTGACTTTGTACATTGTTCTCCCCCAATACTTTTCACATTGCAGACAACTATTTTTACTACCACCGCCATCCCCAAGAAAATCGCAGGCATCTTGTGAGGTGAATCTTGCAAAGGATGGGCAAAAGTGCCATACTAGAATTGTTCAGCTGTAACAACCTTTCGGTGCCCTGCTACCATGCCACGCCAGGTTGCGCAAGCCTAGACAGAGGAAGTCGAGAGGCAGAGGTCGGGTTCGAACCACGGACTTTCCGGTCAGTAAATTCGCGCTCTAGCCACTGAGGTATCTCTCCCCCAGTAAATAAATAGTAAGTATCATACGATTAAAAAACTATCAAGCACAAACTAAAGTTAGGACCTGTTGGATAGCATAGTGAAAATTTGCAGCTCTTTGAAATACTGCTTTACATCAGAGACTTCAGCATCCCCACAGTACTTTCGTGGACAATTCTGCGGACCTTTTTGTCTTTATCGTGCACTCTAGCGCATGCAACTTCACTTGATTAATTAAAGTTTAATTATGGTTGATACTTTGATTTGTTTCACCAAAAAGGCAATTTATCATGGACTTCGCGGAAGAAAAAAGGGTAATTCATTAGAATGGATTACCAATGGACACTAACCTGGTTTAGGGTAGACGAGTCCGACACTGGAAAATTCAGTCGCACTGTAGTCTGCTGGATCCAACAAATCATCGATGACGATCATACGATCACGTGTTATCCAAGTCATGCCATGATCTGCAGTCAGAATTATGTCCACCTTGTCACGCAAATGACGCGCTTCCAAGCCGTCCAAAAGCTGGCCCAAAGATTTGTCCAACTCCACAACGACTTCAGCGACTTCCTCACTCTCTGGTCCATACGCATGGCCCGTCTCGTCCGGTTCATCAAAGTAGGCCAATACTAAGTCTAGCCGGTAACGGGGATTGTCCAACCACCACAGCAAATCCTTTACACGCTTCGTATAGGGATAACGTACAGAACCATCGAGCGTGGTGAATTGTGAAACCTGTTGGAACGGTAAATCTCCATTGACGAAGTTGTCCGTCAGTGGCCATAGAAGAGAGCCAGCAAGTCCACCTTTCCGCTGCAATGTGACCCAAATAGGCTCGGGCCATCCATCCAACCAAGGAGCTTCATTCAAACTTTTTTGACTGCCCATATCAAACGTCTCATTTGGCCAATGACTGTCAAACATGCTGTTGTCTACCACTCCACTATCTTGCGGATACAGTCCAGTCACAAGCGTGTGATGATTAGGCATGGTGACTGTGGGAAACGCGTTTATAGATCTGTTTGCACGAACCCCATCAGCTTCCAAGCGGGCAAAGTTTGGCAATGAATCGCGACCAAGACGTAACCGCACCAATTCTAGATAATCGTGACGAAAACCATCCATGCTGATAAGTAATAGGGTATGGGGTTTGTGATATGGCCAAAAGCATCTACTACCCGGGACGGGCAACCAGCACGGATCCACAAGTGGTTTGAGAAGGCTGAGTAGGAGGAGGCCCGAAAGGACCAAAACAATCGTCAGCACCAGGTTAAGGAAGCTGAATGCTTTGGATCTATGTCGACACTTATTCGAGTAATCATTAAGAAGTCGATGATATGGTTGGTTGCTTTCGGACGGTTGGAGTTCAACACCGGGCATGGCTGAAACGGAAATAGGGTGTTTTATATTAGTGTTTATCCGAAGATGCCCCAAAAAAAGTATCTATGCGTTCCAATTGAACATAGAAACCGAGAGGTTTAGAAGCCAAGACACAACACGCTGTTTTAATCGTTTCTGACTGCCAGTCAAAGTCACTTCGCACGTTAATACTAATTGCGACCACTGGAAGACAAACAAGACATTCAAAATGGACTTCAATCAATAACAGTTGATGGGACCCCGATTAGCTAGGATCCATGCCAAAGTGATGGAATACCAGTAGGCTAGATACATTCATTTCATGTCAGTCAGACAGCTGATGGACATAACGAAAGAGTCGCCACTGTCTCTTATCTCTACAAACAGACAGGAGGACAAAGCAAGGTTCACGTTTCTCGATGCACCAGGAGTTGGCTTCTGTCCATTCGGATAAAACTGTTGGACTGGCTGAGGAGCAGAACACCATTATCCCAAGTAGATGACAGTGGCGCTGAGAAACCATCGACCAAAGTGTCCCCAAGAAGCTGATCACGGCCTCACACAGCGTTTCAAAGCGCGCAACAGTATCCATGATGGTTTCTTATTTTTGTCATGTCAAGACACTCAAGACATTCCTGTAGATTTTGGGTTTCATTTCTGACGTCAGCCATTGCCAGTAACTGAAAATTGTTCTGTTCCTGCGGAAATGAAGTAAGCAGTTGATAGGCTTGCTGCGAGCTCAAATACAACTGGTAAACCACATTAAAGATTGTTCGAGACACGGCTCAAACTGCAGACTAGCTAAGATCAGGTACTACCAACTACCTTGGTCCGACCCCACATGGGTGACCTCATAGTGCCTGTCACCTCCCAGATAATCAGTACACGTGTCTCAAAGATAAACTTGAAACGAGACCATTTGAGCTTCAACTCAGTTGGTAATATTCTAGCTGGAACACAGGAAGGCAGGATGCCTTCAGTTGCGCAGCTACCTATCACGGAAAAGCGAATACAGCGATCGCAAACAATCACACAAGAAGATGAAAAACTCGTTTGTGTAGACTTTGGGAAACTCAATGTTCTCAGGTTCATTCCCGAGCGTTCTTTGGCGTCGGTTGAATAGTTGACGTCAATGAACGAACATAGTTGAACAGTTCAACTCAGCTTCCAACTCAAACACCGAGTAGCTGAGGAGATGGTGTCTTGGATTGTCAAAAGATGTCACCCATAGGTTTCATCAGTAATATACTTCGTTACGCATTCTCCTAAAGTTGGCATGGGCACCATCGATGAGCGGTTTACCGAACTCAATCCGACTGCGGCGGATGGTTCATTCGGCACATTCTCGGAGGCATCGTGCTTATTCCGAATCCGGCTCACATTTACTCGTGATGGTCTTCAACTTTCCTGAATGATATAAATATTCTCTCGATGGTAAACAGCAAAAGTTCTTGCAACTGACCGTCAGCTTTTGTGAATCCAGTCAACTTTCTGGACCATACGAAGATCTTTCCACTTGACTTTTAAGGTTATAGAGAGTGGTCGTACCTTTCTGTCTTTTGTCAAGTTCTTTGCCGAGCTCTTTGGCGCTCTCCTCCATTCCACTCCTAATCCTTTCGGTGGCAGTTGGGTTGTGAGTCACGAACTGATAGCCTTATCGACAGGTAGATATGGATGTCAGCCGTATATCGAAATGTACTTGGACCTAATTTTACCGGATAAGATGGAAGTGCTACCAAGACCATCAGTAGATTCGCTTCCCAATCACTCCCTCTAATCGCCAACCATTCCCCAGGAGTTTAATTATTGCGTTCCATGAGGCCAGTTGTCTGCAAACTCTTCACTTTTAAAACATGGTCGTTTGTCCCTTATGATTATCTTCGACACCCAGTGGTCCGCCACACTGGTGCACCACTATTCCCCTAATCGTAGTCATCCGTTGATTTGCTACGGCTGCAGCCTCAGTGAAAGGTATTCTGTTAACACCAAAACGCACTGAGTGCCACTAACTACCACCGAAAAGTGTCTCATGACGTCAACAGATCATAAGCCTCCTATTTCTCATACAGAAATAGATTCCATCGAGTGATTAGCTCCTGTCCCACCATTCGTCATCAGCTGTCACCGCTTTAAAAGTCACAGTGGAAGTGCTACCAAGACCATCAGTAGATTCGCTTCCCAATCACTCCCTCTAATCGCCAACCATTCCCCAGGAGTTTAATTATTGCGTTCCATGAGGCCAGTTGTCTGCGGGAGATAGGGTTACATCCTAAGTCGCTGCTAGCTGCTCCAAAACTCTTCACTTTTAAAACATGGTCGTTTGTCCCTTATGATTATCTTCGACACCCAGTGGTCCGCCACACTGGTGCACCACTATTCCCCTAATCGTAGTCATCCGTTGATTTGCTACGGCTGCAGCCTCAGTGAAAGGTATTCTGTTAACATCAAAACGCACTAAGTGCCACTAACTACCACCGAAAAGTGTCTCATGACGTCAACAGATCATAAGCCTCCTATTTCTCATACAGAAATAGATTCCATCGAGTGATTAGCTCCTGTCCCACCATTCGTCATCAGCTGTCACCGCTTTAAAAGTCACAGTGTTCTTCATCACACACTCGTACCTGGACAGTAGGTTCTCTACCAAAAAACTTCATGTCCCGGAGTATCTGGCGTGTATCAGCTCGTAGCATTTGATGACCAATTTTCCTTTGAAGTCATGAGGTATCACAGGCATTATGAAGACCGAGTCGTCTGACCGTCGAGATAATGTGCCGGCTTCATTCAGAGTTAGTCTATAGAAGCCCCCCGGACTACCTCTACCATTGTTTGCTTCCATGTACTCAATAACCGTTTTATCCAACAAGGCGCTTGCAATCTTCCGTCCCGTCGTTGTCCTATCTGGTCCCCTTACGAAAATATACTGCGATATCTCGAATATCGTGCCAACTGAAACCAGGCGGCCTGTGTGCAGCACATTCAGCTGAAGAACATCATAAACGGGAGCTTCAGTTGAGGCTCTTGTGAAAACCAAATTGATTTGCAAATGAGTGTACCTGGTTCCTGTTCGATGACAAGGCTATTGGCACCCACCATAACCCTTAGATTTGTTTCCGCTTGAAACACCCGGTTAAAAAAGTCAGCCAGGCGATTATCATTCCCCATACGTGTTGACATACTCTAGTAGTCGGTGAGCGAACTTTCCGAATGGACCTCCGGTAAGCCAAAAAGTCACAGTGTTCATCACATACCCGTACCTGGAAAGAAGGCTCTCTACCGAAAAACGTCATGCCTCGGAGTATCTGGCGTGTATCACCTCGTAGCATTCGATGACCAATTTTTCTTTAAAGTCATGAGGTATCACAGGCATTATGAAGACCGAGTCCTCTGACCTCCGAGATAATGTGCCGGCTTCAATCAGACTCGGTCGATAGAAGCCCCACGGACTACCGCCACCATTGATTGCTTCCATGTACTCAATAACAATTTTATCTAACAAGGGGCTTGCAATCTTCCGTCTTGTCGCTGCCCTATCTGGTTCCTTTATGAAAATATACTGCGATATCCCGAATACATACCACCGTGCCAACTGAAACATGAGCCGGCCTGTGTGCAGTATATTCAGTTGAAGAATATCATGAACGAGATATTCAGTTGTCTCTCATGAAAACCATATTGATTTGCAAATGATTGTATCTGGTTCCTGTTTGATGACAAGGCTATCGGGACCCACCACAGCCTTTGGATTTGCTTCTCCTTAAAACACCTGGTTGAGTAAGTCAGTCAGCCAAGCGATTCTCATTCCCCATACGTATTGACACACTCTTGTAGTCGGAGAGCGAAATTTCTGCATGGACCTCCGGTGGTCGTAAGCCACGCGAGGGGTATGTGGTCAGTCTCAAAATAATGTCACGGCGAATATCGTCTCCAACTCACAGACGACCGGTAGTGACAGTTGGATACCTGTGCTCAGCACTAATTAAGAAAATAACGGCCCATCAAAGCGCAGCAATCCCCAAGCTACTGGTGTCCATTGCGACAGTAACCATCTCTCCTACGTTGGGTATCTGGGAGATGGGTTAATGCTCCTGCCTTTCGGTACCTAGCCGCCATCCAACCAGAAGGAAGCACCAGGGCTGGGATATACGGAACAATCGCCACATGTTCCAACCCCCAACCTGGAGGACCAGGAGACTGTGTTCGTCAGACCTCTAACCATTGACCAACCTGGTATTGGAGACTCTGTGAGTGTCGCGGGACACTCTCCAGTATAGCTCAATGGATCGCTGAGGTGCGCAAACCGTCACACCACGGTAAGGTCCAGTCTCTTCGTGACGGAGAGAGCTTGCGATCCGACCGTGAAGTATGGTGGACACAGAAAGTCAAAGAAATGGAAGAGGCCCAGAAAGCCGGTAATGCCCGGCGATTATTTCAGTTGATCCGTGCGACCGGTCCCCGGAAACCACCTGTGAGTGAAAGCATCAAACATCAGAATGGAACGACCATCTCTAATAAGGAGGAACGCCTTGACCGGTGGGCTGAATACTTTGAACAACAAATGTCTTGGCCACCAGCCAGCACTCA